GGATAAATGATAGATTTCTATATTTTCCATATAGTCAGATATGATGGGATATCATTTGTAAGTATATATATGTGTATATATCAATATTTCATGGGATAAATCTCAATGTAAATGATTGAAATACTGCGGATGGTTGCGAAATCCAAAAAAAATCCAGCTGCTAACGATTGTATGACATCCTGTTTTATGGTATTATAGCGGGATAAAAAATCAACCGCAGGTTGGTCGAGGAGCTGCACAGCAACCAAGTGCCGCCGCCTGTGGCGGCTTGGAAAGCTCTCAGTAAGACGGCCATGGCGCGGTTTTTTCCGTGGGAAGTGGATCAATGGGGCCGTATGCCACTGGGAAATATCATGGACATGGGAAGAGGATCGAAGTTGGGACAGTCGGGAGATTTTGCCAGGCATTATTGATTGCCAGAGGCTAGGCAGGATGTAATAAAGCATCAAACATATGGATTGAAGCGATAATATATATATATATGTAATTGACATGGAATTTTGGATGTTTGCAGTTGGCCACTGAGTAGCAATTTAATCTTACAACTTACAACCCGCTTGTATAATATACTTGTATATGAAATATCCCAGGTTGTTTTCATTGGGTTTTCACCGCTTACGAATTAGTTATCAAAACTATAGGTGTTAGCGATTTCACAATATTGACAATGAGAACATTCTGGTTGTTGGTGAATTATTCTGATACCAAACAATGTTTGGATCTAACTTGCAAACATTGGATTTCAGTCAGATTGCATCGACATGACGCGACGAACTCCAATGGGGATTAATTAGCTGAGATATAACCAGCAAACATGGTGCAAGAATGGGAGTCGGAGCAACAGAAATGGGGTCAAAAACATCCCGAAGGAAAAAAACAAACACTTTGCCAATATTTTTTTGAAATCTCTTCAAGCAAAAATCCTCATGACTGGATTTCATCAACATTGTGGATCCGTAGACTTGGATTTTCGATGGGCCACTGCACAAAGTTGTAAAGTTCATCAGCTCAGTGGGAAGAGAAAAATATCGGGCTTAAACTTGGTGGATAAGTTGAGATTCAGTTTTGTTCATGTTGATTGCGAAACCAACATACCCTCTGGTAAACGTTTACACAACTATGGAAAATCACCATTTTTAATGGGAAAAATTACTATAAATGGCCATTTTCAATCGCAAACTGTTAGTTTACCAGAGGGTACGCTTTAGAAAAAAGGTGTAAGTAATTACTCTTTTCGAATCTAAACTCAGACGTGGTTTAACAATACCAGTGTCAAAGTGTTTTTTAATATCCATTTTAGCTGCGTTTACTAAATGTTTCTTATCCTCCTCAGCTGGTGTTTCTTCTCCCCATTTTGTCCGTTTCGCTCCAACCGTAGGGAAATTACAATCCATTCGATCCCATGAGTAATTTTCCTAGAAATAGTTGCGTCCTGGTATGTTTCCTGAAAAATGTGTCACGCATAGACATTTGGTTGGTGGTTTCAAACATGACTTTGATTTTCCATAATATATGGGAGAATCCTTCCCATTGTTAAAACCACCAACCAGACATTCATAACACATAGCCACAAATGGGAAAGTTGCGATTCAGATCTAATCAGATGGTTTGGACCATGCTATGCGTACAGGGATTGTTTTTCTTGGAAGGGAAAAAAAGGGAAAAAACCCTGCACAGCTCAGATTTAATTAATCTAATTAGTAGACATTGGTGTTTTCCCTAGGCCTTCTGTTTATGATTTTCCCATGATCTGCCAGGAGAAGGCAGACATCTGTTCAAACGTCGTCATGGAGAAGCGGCACCTGTGCTAAAAATGGTCAAAATGAGTGTAGCGCAGCCCGAAATGGGCCAACATCTAACATTGAATTGGGGAAGTGTACATCGTTTTTAAATCTTTTTTGTTTTTACATGTTTAACATTATATATTATATATATATACAGCATTATATATATACTGGTACATGTGCCGAAACTCCCGAGTTCATTATATAGTTGTGAATAAAAATGGATATGGTGTGTGAGCTCAACACTCTTCCATCTCATGTAACTTTGGTCACAGCATCTTCACCATGAAATGTTTTGTGCATCCAATATTTTGAGCTAAGCAGCTATGCACGGTGTTATGCACGGTGTTCACCCAATTTTTTGTGTACCCATGTTGATTTAAACCATATAATGTCATACAATCATAGCCAACTTTGACGGAGCAGACATGAAACTGTGCATGTCGTGGGGGTCCATTTTGCAAGCATGCATTCAAATATGACTTGATGTGGTTATTGCCCATTTGCATTAATGTGTAATAAATATAGAGTTATCTATGGACACATACATTTATTAATGATAGAGTATTATGATTACTATCTACGTATCATACTGTACTAGCAGATGCAATTTTCAGATTACCTATGATTATCTATGATTATCCATGCTTATCCATGCTCATCCATGATTTTCCATGATTATCTATGACTGCCTATGATTATCTATGACTACCTATGATTATTAATCCAGGAGTATCCATGATTATCCATGTTTTCCTTGATTATCCATGATTATCCTTGACCATTCATGATTATTTTTGACTATCTAGGACTAGTTTTGATTATCTACGATTTTCTTTCTTTTTGCATGGATTATCCATGACTATTCATGATTATCTTTGACTATCTAGGACTAGTTTTGATTATCTACGATTTTCTTTCTTTTTGCATGGATTATCCATGACTATTCATGATTATCTTTGACTATCTAGGACTAGTTTTGATTATCTACAATTTTCTTTCTTTTTTCATGGATTATCCATATGACTATTCATGATTATCTTTGACTACCAAGGACTAGTTTTGATTATCTACGATTTTCTTCCTGTTTTCATGGATTATCCATATGACTATTCATGATTATCTTTGACTACCAAGGACTAGTTTTGATTATCTACGATTTTCTTTCTGTTTTCATGGATTATCCATGACTATTCATGATTATCTTTGACTATCTAGGACTAGTTTTGATTATCTACCTTTTTCTTTCTTTTTTCATGGATTATCCATGACGATTCATGATTATCTTTGACTATCTAGGACTCGTTTTGACTATCTAAAGTCTTCCCTAATTATCCTTGATTATCCATGACCATCCATGGTTATCTTTGACTATCTATGACTAGTTTTGACTATCTAAAATCTTCCTTGATTATCCTTGATTATCTATGACCATCCATGATTATCTTTGACTATCTGTCACTAGTCTTGACTATCTAAGATCTTCCTTATTTATCCTTGATTATCCACGACCATCCATGGTTATCTTTGACTATCTGTCACTAGCTTTGACTATTTAAGATTCTTTGACCATCTAAGAGTTTCCTTGATTATCCATGTTTTCCATGACTATCCATGATTATCCAATATTTTTGCTATAAATGTTGCAGGATCCCATCGCCGAGGATCATGGCCGTTACAAAGTTATGCCCATCGCCTTTCATCGTCCCTCGGAGACTTGCTAAAGGTGTGACGCGTTGTGTGACCTGGTGCTGAAGGAATGGTTAAAAGACGTTAATCATGTTTATCTGGTTGGTGGTTTGGAACATGACTGGATTATTTTTCCATATATTGGGAATAAGAGTCCCAACTGACTAATATTTTTTCAAGATGGTTAAAGCCACCAACCAGTTAATAATGTTTATGGTTATTAAGAACTGTTAGTACTGGTTCATAATGGTTCATTCAATTGGTAATGTTCATGAGCAAGAACTTTTGCAACGGGCCATCGGTTTTGCTCACACTTTGAAGCTAAGCAACCCCAAGAATATGCATTCTATGAATAGAGAAAAAAAGAAAAACATGCAGCAAACCAAAAAAAATGCAGCATCAATCCACCAATCCTAGTGACTTACCATGCGAGGGATGTTAGTGATATATATATATATGTTGAATCTACACAACAGTTATCGCACAGAGGCACCCTTTGCATTTTTTTTTATGATACCAAGGCCATCTCTGAAACTGGCATCGCCCAAAACAGTTTGATCGCCCCCTTGGATCAGCGTTTCGCCTAAGAGTATCGCCCCGAAGCTAAGCGGCGACGTCGTAAGTAACTCTGTGAGATCTGCCAAGTTTTCACTTATTGATGTTTTTTTCACTTATGGTATAAACCAACAACAATGGGAATATGATGGTTAGATATCTGAGTGGTGGTGACTGGAACATGACTGGATTATGACTTTCCATATATTGGGAATGTCATCATCCCATCTGTTACTCACTCCATCATTTTTCAGAGGGGTTGTTTTACCACCCACCAGATATATATATATATATATTAACCATCATTAACCATCATTAACCATCATCAGAACCATCATCATTAACCATTAACAGTATATATATATATATTAACCACATATTAACCATCAAATGGGGAAACCACCAACCAGTGTACTTCGGCAAGGGAAATATCGAGTCCTTCCATTGTTTTGTGCCTGGAAATACCAGGTGAAGCCACCAAGGATCCTTGGGAAGTCCATTTCTCCATCCTGTGGTGGTTAGTCAGAATGGTTTAGTCAGGGAACGGGTCAAAACCTATGAATTTCTATTTGAATTTGTTCAATATGACTGGGGGATACTGGGGGAATAAACATGAATAAACATCCACACGTCCCAGGAGTCCCAGCTATGGCTTTGACCAAATATAACCATATATCTATGCCCATGATATGTTCGAAGAATGGGACATTTCACCGTAGAACTTCGATTACCTGAGGCTAAATCAGAAGCCGTCGGCCCGCCCCTGCGACGGCACCAGGTGTCTTACCATGGATGTTGCCAAACGCCCAGATATATCTACTTCAAGCGTCTCGGAATGTCTCGGGTGGTGAAGTAAGCATGATCAAGATCTCAATCATCTTTTTTGGATATTTTTGGATAGTTTGTTCTCCGGGTCAGACCTGGCCATCTCTGGCCGCATTGACGATGCCACGATGCCAGACCGCCTTCAGG